AGACTTGGAGAACAGATTAGAACAAAATATTTATTCAAACAAAGTTTATTATTTAAATTCTATAACAAACTAATATTATATTAATTAAGACTTTGATTTATTTAAATAGAAATTAAATATTATTACACATAAGTAGTATTTTACATTTAAACCTTGTTTTATTTAAATTTTAGATAATATTACTAAGTGTTCAGAATGTCTATATAATTATCAAATATTTACATCTAATTGCTTATCAATATATTATTTATGTAATTATTTATTATTAATTATTATGTACTCCAATGGTTCCAATGTTTAATCTCATCATATAAAGCTTGACCTGAACTTGACCTGACCGCAAGTTGTGTATGCCCAAAAAGTTTATAATCTTCCGATAGCTTGCCCAATTGAACCCCAAGTTCTATTAATGATTTTGCTGTATCTAATGCAGTTTATATATATATATTTATATATGTATCGGAAAATGGTACTTTTAGTTTTATTGTTTGCCTGCTACGGTCAATTTATTAGTTTGATTGTTATTATTTTATACATATATATTTATATATATGTATGAAACATCAGCCAGGGAACTAGTTTAAAATTTATTGACTGGAAATATACACATATTACAAGCATATTATATATTTTCACATAATGGTAATGGAGGAATTCAAATATGAGAAATCATTTAATATATTAACAGTGTTGTTTTGTTTTTTTATTTCTGACGAATTTAACTATCTAAACGATACAAAAGATTATAATCGATATATAGTATTGTTAGCTTTTTTGAAAAGAATCAATATCCCTTTTTCGAGATATCGCTACTTTGTTCTGTTCTATCTACACTATCCAAGAATCACATTTATTGGATTTGTCTTTGTCTGTATCATTGAGTATTAATGAATTTAAATAATTAACTATAAGTCTAGTCCATGTACTTTTGAAAAGAGCATATTTAAATTTTTCTATCACACCATTTTCTACACATATATTTCATAAGTTATTGTCAATTGTCGGAATGTCTCTCGTCAAAGTATGATATCACTGACTTAGTAAATAATTTTGAGTTGTGTTAGCAGTTTTTAAAAGGATTTTAAAAAGGATAATATTTCACCACATGTATGTATCCCTACACACGAAATTTCGAATACTGAATTTTCTTGGTTCTTATAGTAGTTTTCTATATAAAAGGTTTAAATTATAAATTGTATTTCATCAGAAACATAGTTTAATTACATAAAATCTCTATCGGTGTTTATCTAATCGCAAATATAGAAATTTGTTGAAGGAAATAATTTATTGCTGTACTGATTTTGATATATTCATACTTTTTTCTATTCCATCTCCACTGTCTATAAATTCTTGGTCAATATTTTCAGAGGACTTGTTTCAACTATCGCTTGATAAAAGTTTGAAGTGTTATTCTTAATATAATAGCAATGCTTTTAGAAGCATCAGCAACAATACGAGTATAAAAATTTTATTGTTGTAGATTTCTATTGCTATTGTGGTAGTCGGTTATCAAGTTCATTACTCGACATTGTGAATACCACTTCTGTATTTTTGGCATGTTTCTATTAATTTAATAAAATAATTAATATCATTATTATTATATTTTTGAAATTGAAAAAAAAATATTTATCTTTTTATTAAAATATGATTTTTTAACAATTTGTTTTACTATCCATATATTCGAGTTAAAAACTTAACCATTTTTTTTTTATATTTTATAAAACATTTACAAAATTATGAATTTAATGTATCCAAATAAAAACTATACTAACATCTATTTGAAATATATGTATATCTATATATCTATATATCTACGTAACCAAGTGCTAAATATTTTTAAATATAGTAATTAATCAGTAGTAGTACTAGGACTTTCTGACCATTGTGGCCAGCTTTTAAAGCTTTCATAAAGTGCATCTGCTGCTGTTATGCCGGCATTTGGAACGATCTTCTGGGCACCATAAATTTTGTAATCTTCTGTAAGTTTACCCAAACGCACACCTTCTTCAAGTAAGAGTTTGCTCACACTCATTTGTTTTTCATTTGGTTCTACATTTTTAAATGTTCCAATGAATGCTAAACTGATACTTCTATCATTCCAACCTTTGAGATGTGCTCCCACATTATCCCAACCGCGTCCTTCATAAACATTTCCATCACCACCGATTAGAAAATTGTATATTATATCATCATAATGTGTGGCTTCTATATTGTATGTTTGTAAGATGCGTACACGATAGGTGCAAGTGGACTGAATATAAAAAATAAAATATAATTCGGTTATTTCTTATAAATTTTTTCTTTATAATGTGTTTTAATATATTACTTGTGTGGTGCAATTTTCTGTATTAGTAGATGAAACAATAACTTTAGATACCGGCAAATCAAGAGATAAGAGCGGTTTTAAAGGTAACTGTGCAAACCAACCATCTCGTGGTACTATTCTCAATACTTTTCCACTACCCAAGTTATCTTTGTCTGAAATTGAAAAGCATATATGTATGTAAACTAATTTTTTATTATTATATATAATTAATTTTAAGAATTATTTTATGTAAAAAGGATGATATATTGAACAAAAAATAAGTTTTTTTCTTCTACTGTTACCAACAATTATCTGCAGATATAAGACATAGACACATATTTATAAATATATAAGGTCAACTTATATCTGCATATATCTACCATAAATATAATAAATATTTAAAATATTTTTCTTAGAAATTACCTTATAAAAATAAAGGTAATTTAGATAAAAATTGAATATCATTCTAACGAAAATTGCAACTATATTTACAATAACTATATTTGTACAAAAGTATTTAAGAGATTTGGACAAAGGATTGGAACAAAATGTTTATTCAAACAAACTAAAGTTTATTTTTTAAATTCTATAAAAGTAACAAACTAATATTATATTAAGTAAAACTCTGATTTATTTAAATAGAAATTTAATATTATTATAGATTAGTAATATTTTACATTTTTACATCATTTTATTTAAATATTAAATAATATTACTAAGTGTTCGTAATATCTTTATAATTATCAAATATTTATATCTAATTGTTTTTCAATATATTATTTATATACTTATTTATTATTAATTGTTACGTACTCCAATGCTTCCAATGTTTAATCTCATCATATAAAGCTTGACCTGGACTTTCAGTAGCCGCAAGTTGTCTATGTCCAAAAAGTTTATAATCTTCCGACAGCTTGCCCAATTGAACCCCAAGTTCTATTAATGATTTTGCTGTATCTAATGCAGCTGCGCTTGGAAGAACTTTTTCAAACATGCCAATAAATCCAATACTTATGCTACCAGCGTTATAACCTCTAGCAACCGCACTTTGATAATTCCATCCACGACCTTCATACACATTTCCATCGTTACCAATTAGAAAATTATAACCAATCTCAAAGAAATTAAGACTTTTCATTTGAAAATTCTGAATATCTCTCACAATTTGAGCACATCTCTTCTAAATAATCAATCAACAATAATATATATCATATATTATAACACATAATAATATTAAAACAAATACATACAAAAAATGAATGATTAATTTTATTTTACTTACATTATCGTCACAATTATTACTAGCTGTATGCGCTATTATTACTCTAGTTGCTGGTAAATCCAATTCCGTTAGTTCCCCCGTAGCATCTAATCCTTTCCAGTCATGTTTCGTTAGTATAGAAATATCTCCACTGACCATATTAATTATTAAAAATATGCAACAAAACAATGAAATATTTTCCGGCTTCATATTTTCAAAAATTAGCAGAATACACTAACTTTCAGCTCAAGTTTCAATAGAACAATGTGTCTCTTTGACTGAAACACTGAAATTTATAAATTTAAACACTGCAGCGAATTTCTCTGATAGCCTTTGGTACTTTTTTTTTCTAGATTGCAAAACTCTTCACCCCTACAATTGATGTAATTGGGTATTATAAACGCACCGATGAGTTGGTAACATTCAACTAATGCTAAAACTAATGCTAGACTAGTATGAACCGCGCAAAAGACAACTACATTCAGAAACTAAATGTGTGATAGTCTGCCGTGGGTTTTTCAAAAAATTATTTAAAACCAATAAACCAATAAATGTCAATATATTTATAGTTTCATTATATATAGTATATAAATTATGTATATAATTTATATATATATAATATGATATATAAATTTGTATTATTTTTTTCACAATTTTATTCGATGGGAAATCTCTAGAACTAATTGTTTTATAATTTGAATATGTATGTAGAATGTTAATATTAATTAAATTATATTGTTTAACTTATAATCACTAATGTTATGTGCTACTAAGTCGGTTTTCTTTAAATAAATTATATTTCAAGATTGTATTTTCAACTATATGTGCTCTCTTTTAAGAGCGGAACTCAGCACTCAAACTGTAAACATTACAATATCTACTAAAAGTACTTATCCATTAATTGCTTGCGTCACAAAAATAAGAAAAAGAGTTTTATACATAATAGCAAATATTTACAAATCTTTTTCAACTTTAAAGAGGAATCCCCTTAAAATTTATGACAAATACAGCCAGCTATCACCAATTGTGAAACACCATACATGACATATTTACAATTAATTGCTGAAAATCACGCTATGATCTCAGTAACTTTAGTTATAATAAAAAAAAAGAAATTTCTAGTTATTATTTATAACAAAAAATTTAATAAAATTATTAGCATTTTTATATGAACCTCAATATATAAATGAAGTAATATTTATCCATCACAAACAGTATTTATTACATAAATATAAAAGCTTGTACATAATATTATATGAAAAAATAAATATATAGTGAATTATTTATCTAATATCATACATGTATACAATATAAAAATATATAACATATTATCCGATACTGTATAAAGGAAAGCATAAAGGAAAGCGAAATTACGCTGGGCGTCAATGTGTTCCTACCTTAAATGTCAGAGATCGTTACTTGATGAAGGTTAGGTTAGGTTAGGTTACTGGGGCCGTCCGAAGACTCACTTAGACCATGAGGTCCATTGTGATACCCTAAAGAATTTGACACCTTTCCCTATAACCACTTGGTATTGGCTACAAAGCCATTGACACGAGCTATGGAAATAGAATCTAGCTCTCTTAATGAATAGAAAAAATTAGACCCTAAGTAGGATAGTCTATGTCTTGCGAAGGCAGGACACTGTAGCAGAAGGTGTGTTGGTGATTCCTCTTCATCATCCTCCATGCAATGCCTACAATGTAAGGAGGTCCTGATGTTGAGCCTCAAGGCATGTCCTCCCAACGGGCAGTGTCCCGTAATAATTCCCACTATCCTGGATAAATTTGCTCGGGATAGATTGATTAATTCCCCCGATCTTTTCTTACTTATTTTTGGCCAAAATTCCTTGGTTTTTATGCAGTTGGTTACTGTTGACCATCTTCTTTCAAACATTTGGTATGTCCATAATTTTATTCGGTGCCGACAAGAAGCAATTGGTATACCCAC